AAAGGCACTAAAAACATTAACAGGAAAGTCAAGTGTAGCCATAATCATAGTCATGCCACCCAGAAGTGACCCTGGGGATATCTTACTGCGCTTTTTTCAAAGCTTTGTTTCCAAAAGCTAGTATCACAGTGGACATGGTGTTTTTTTCTTGCTTCTGTTTACAAACTGTTTCCTGCCTGCTAGAAAATAATTTTCAGTGAGATTTTACCCCATCTGGTATTTGGCATATGCCATGGCTGCCTCTGTGTTCCTGGGTGCTCCCATTGTTTCCATTCCTGCTATAACTTAGCTGCTGATCAGCATTGTCTTAGTATCTTTGAGTATTTCCCTGGCAAATTGTGCAAGTGCCACAGCCGGGTTACAGCAGACAAGCACAGCATGATTACTCTGTGTGTGTGTGTGTGTGTGTGTGTGTGTGTGTGTGTGTGTGTGTGTGTGTGTTATCTCCCTCGAAAGCCCCCCTTTTTTTCTTTTTACATTTATTTATTTATTTTTGGGCAGGGGGGAGGTGTAAAGTCAGTGGACAACTTGCAAAAGTCAGTTCTACTATGTGGGTTCTGGGGGCCAGATTCAGGTTGCCAGGTCACTAGATCTGAAGGTTTTTTGAGTGCTATTGACATGGCTTAGCAGGTAAAGGTACTTGCCCAACCTGACTCCCTAAGTTTGGTCCCTGGAACCTACATGGGGGAAGGTTAGAGCCAACTCCAGCAAATTGTCTTCTGCCCTACACAGCACTATAGCATGTGTGTTAAGCCCACCCCCCTCACCCCCAATAAATAAATGAAAAACAAAAACCCAAATTTAAAAAATACTGTGTTGTTTTGTTTTTTGAGACAGGGTCTCATGTACTTCAAGCTGTCCTTGAACTGGCTGTGTAGCCAAGGATGACCTTGAACTGCTGGTCCTTCTGCCCCCACCTCTAGAGTGCTGGGGTTACAGGTATGCCCCACCATGCCTGATTTGATTTGGTGCTGGGGATCAAACTCTGGGTTATGCATGCCAGACAGGCACTCTGCCAACTAAGCTATATGCCCAGCTCTTTGTTTTGTGAGTGTCTCTGGGCTGACCTAAAACTCAGTAGGTAGTTCAGACTGGCTTCAAACTTGTAGCAATCCTACTGCCTCGACCTCCTTAGTGCTGTGGGTAGATGTAAGCTACTGTGTCTGGCTCAGAAATGAGCCTTCAGAATGCCACCATGCTCAGCAGCCATTTTAGCTTATGACCCTTCACACCAAAAATTTCCCAAGGCATCTGTCCCAGAGGGACAGCACTGGTTGGCCAAGCAGTGTATCTGGGCAACAGAAATTGCTTGGACCATGAGCAGAGGTCACTGGTCACATGGTACTTCTGAGTGGGCAGGTAGGCAGGCATTATTAGCATGTGTCAGCAGATAGGATCACAGGTTCAGTGGTTAATATTTGGCTGGTGGCCATCTGTGGACTCCCACAGCTGGTTTACTGTGGTTTTTTGTTTGATTCTTGGGATTAAAACCAGGGTTTCCCACATGTTGAATACTAAGTCTACTACTGAGCTTTATCCCAGACCCTGGTGTCCATTTCTCCAGTTCTGTCCTCTCCCCGATCCCTTGCTATCAAGTAACAAAAGCACCACCGTTCCTGGCACTGGCTGCTGGGTCTGGACAGGGGCTGGATGTTAAGCGTCCCCTCCCTGGCACTGACTGGTTTCTTACTGTATACCACACGGGACAGGAGTGACCCAGAGGTCTAGGAAGGACTTTTCTGTAGTTGACAATGTGACCTCTAGGCAGTCACTTCCTGACTTCCATATTCTTATCTGTAACTGACCACTGAGACCTGTGGGGCCTCTGAGACAGATGCTGGGGATGGTGCTAGCCTTAAGGGGAAGGGATCTGTTAAGAGTCCTGGAGCCATGAGGGTACAACAGCTGGAGAGTAACAAGAGTCGGGCTCCCAGGAAAGCAGATTCCGGGGCCCTCCTGGAGCGTAGGTGGCCGACCCCGAAGCCCTAGGAGAAGCGGCAGTAAAGATGCCTCTCTCCTTCCCCCTGTTGCTGCAGGTTGGCTTCCTGAAGATCCTGCACAGGTATGAGATTACCTTCACTCTGCCTTCAGTGCGCAGGCTGAGCAAAGACATCCGTGAGGCCCCTGTCCACAGCTTGCACCTCAAGCTCCTCAGTGTCACTCCCATCCCTGAAGGTAGGTCCTCTCCTGGGCTGCTAGAGGCCCGCCCTCAAGCCATGACAGCCTGCTGTGAGTGGGAGTGAGAATGTGAGGTTCTATGCCCTTTCTCTAGGTAGGGTAAATCAGCAAAAGTCAGGAGCATGGCACCTCCTTGAGCTTACAGTGTGGGAACAGCAGTTCCAGCCCCAGGCCTCTGTTTTTAGACAGAGACATCCATTCCATCCATACACCGCAGATTTGCACCTGCCCACTGCCTGATGATACCCTCAGTGGAGAGGTTCCAGATACGGAGCCTCTGAGGACTGTCTTTGGGCCTCCAGTCTTCCTTCTCCTCCTCCGGGATAAAAAGGCTGGAGCTGTACGCCTTTGGATGGCTACTGCCTAGCACCTACTAGTTTCTGGCTGTGGGTTCTAGGCTGCTTCTCCAGCTGGCTTCTCCTGATCCCCAGCCTGGCAGACAGAGACTGGAATGCCAGTTTCAGGGTATGCTGCTGAGCTTCAGTCCCATGTCCCCACCACTACTGCTTCCTAATAGCTTGCCCGTCAGTGATCTCAGGAAGTCCTTTCCTCTTGCTCAAAGTCCACTCTGGCAGCCTCTCCTTGTCCTCCATCACCTTCTTCCCACCTTCCCTTGTGGCACCAGGGGGACCCTTTTCTTAGAAGGATGACTGGAGCTTGTTTTCTACCTTTAGAGCCATGCTGAGTTAGGCCAGAGACACACTGACCTTATTTGAAAGAATGGGACATTTCTTAAGTTCTGTGCCAGCTTTGTGGGGCTGGGTCTCTGAAGGACTGTGAGTGCTGGGGACAATACTCACAGCACTGTGAGGAGCTGTGGGAGGTACTGACGGCCTCGCCATCCCTGTCCTCCTGCAGGTTACAGCATCAAGTGTGAGTATTCAGCACACAAAGAGGGAGTCCTCAAAGAGGAAATGCTGCTGGCCTGCGAAGGTGACACGGGCACCTGTGTGCGTGTGATGGTGCAGGCACGAGTCATGGGTGAGTGAGAGTAGGGTTGGTCTGGCTGGAGGAAGGAGGCATGAGACAGGCTTCAAGAGATTCTTGAACCTGGCAGTGGGTTCTAACCTCCTTGGCAGGGTCCTCCCCTGGATCCCCAGCCAGTGTGAGGGAGAGGTCCCTGTGGAATACCTTGTGTGGTACCAGGACACAGCGGGCACACTCACTAACTTGTGGTACCTGCCTTGCAGACCGACACCACGGTACACCCATGCTGCTGGATGGTGTCAAGTGTGTGGGCGCTGAGCTGGAGTACGACTCAGAACACAGCGACTGGCACGGCTTTGACTGAGGCCTGGGGCCCTGCCTGCCTGCCTACCTGCCTGCCTGAGCCCCTGAGCCTTAAATTCTGCCTGCTTCCCGACATGCTGCGTGATGGTGTGGCTTCCTCACCTCTCCCCTGGGTGGGTGTGTGGCAGGGCTTGACCCTGCTCATGCCTCCCACTTCTGCCTTCATTCCTGCCACCATCCTGCCTCTCCTATGGCCTCCTCTCCCACTTCCTCCTCTCCCATGTGCCTAAGTCTCCTGACTGAAGAAATGGGTTGAGTCCCATGGAGGCTTATCTGAGAGGAGGAATCTGGAGTGGATTTACCTCCTCCACCCCAAGCCATAGGGGCTCTAGCTAGGGACTGAGAGAGGACGGAGTGGCTCTGTCTGTGTGACATTGATGCCCCATTGCTGCTGCTATTGTCGTCTCACCATCTCCACCTCTGCGGTCCCTCCATCTTCCCCACTGCTGTTCATGTGGTGAGGAGGTACAGTTCCCAGCTCCTACCCCTCAGGTCTGTGGTACTTGGTTTTTAATGACTGGTTGGGATAGAGTCCTTAATAAATAAAAGTTCCAATAGATAGCAGTGGGGGCTTTTTGTTCCCTGGGGCTGGGAGACTGCCCTGCCCTTCACAGATGGGCCAGTGCCGTCAGGAGGAAGGGTTCTGCATGATACCGCAGCACTAGCACCACGGGATGGAGGCCTTGTAGGCCTGGGGCCAGTTGCTTACTTTGGGTGGGAGGTGCCTCCTGCCTAGGCCGTAGCAGACTTCAGGGATTCTGATGCTGGACAGGGAGAAAGCAACAGCTCCTTGCTGAGTCCCTGTCATCTGTGCAGCTGAAAAACGGTCTCCCTTCTCTCTGGTACTTGTATGGGGGTCCCCACTCTGGTGGTTCCAGAAGACTGCTGCTTTTCCTGACCACAGATGCTTTATTTTCACCTAGGGCAAGGTCTCAGGCAGGTAAAGTTGTCCTATGCCATGGTTGGCCGAAGTGCCTGACATCTCGCACTTGGAGAAACTGAGGCCCATGGTTGATCAGATTTCCTGATGGTATACTATCCCGATTAATCGGCAGAGCTGGGACACCCCTGCCTCACCCCTGTGACCTCTGTTCTCCTGTGGCTGGGTTGGGGGCAAATAGGTCATTTATAGTTTGCCCGTGAGTCCTTTGTCATGCTGTGTCCATATCCCCTCCAAACCGCCTTCTCTGTAACAGTGCCCCCTCCTCTCGTCAGCCACTGCTCTGCAATTAACACTCTCACATCCAGGTACTTTCACACACCCCCCCCACCCCAACCCCCCC